GGGGGCCAAAATTAAGACTACTGCCCAGCAGCAGGAGGCTATATAAATTCTGAAGCAAACTACCCACCTGATTAATGATAAGTTGGCGCCGGTAACTGAGAGGCTGGCGCTGCTTACAGAGAAATAGCACATTTACCGGCGTTATTACTAGATACGCTATGGACTAGCAGCCCTCGGCTAGTCATTGACTGGTTCACACACTCCCTCTGCTGTCTATTAGCATGGATAGGCTAGCGTTAGCCTCGCCGGGCTGGTGTTAGCATTGGAGAGGCTAGCCATTAGCGTGCCTAGGCTGGCCACTAGCTGGATTTCCTACCCCCTTGACGGAACCTTAGCATGGATAGGCTGGCATTAGCATTGGAGAAGCTAGCCATTAGCGTGCCTAGGCTGGCCACTAGCTGACTTGTGACTCTCCAATACATGTTAATGGCTAGCCTCTCTGATGCTAATGCCAGCCTATCCATGCCTAAGGTCCATCACGGGAGTAGGAAATCCAGCTAGTGGCATGCCTAGGCACGCTAATGGCTAGCCTCTCCGATGCTAACGCCAGCCTATCCATGCTAATGGTCCGTCGAGGAGGTAGGAAATCCAGCTAGTGGCCAGCCTAGGCACGCTAATGGCTAGCCTCTCCAACACTAACACCAGCCCGTCCAGGCTAATGCTAGTCTATCCATGCTAATAGACAGCAGAGGGAGTGTTTGAACCAGTCAATGACCAGCCGAGGGCTGCTCCCTAGTAGTAACGCCGGTAAAGGTGCTATTCCTCAGTAAGCAGTGCTAGCCTTTCAGTTACCGGCGCCAGCTTATCATTAATCAGATCAGTAGTTTGCTTCGGAACTTATATAGCCTCCTGCTGCTGGGGATTAGTCTTAATTTTGGCCCCATACCGCACCATAGACAACGTCCTCTGCTGCCCGTGGATAGACGGAGAAGGAAGTGACGCCACCATCAGTGTCAGCCTGAGGAAGTTTGCAGCCGCAAACGAAACGTAGCGGGAAAACAGGTAAACAAAAACTGCTCTGTGTTTTAAAAAAGAACTACAGCATGGAATTAGAGATACGACAGAGCAAGAACACACCTAAGATGAACTGACTTACTTGTCAGATGAGTGAAGAGCTGATGAGCGATGAAGCTCTGAACCCGTGACGTGAATTAGATGAATCAATGAGTAGCGAGTGGATTAGTTGGCTTGTGTTCATTGATTTGTATGATCACATGGGGTTATGTGGCCCACTGAGGCTGATGGGAGATGGAGTTCTCAACACAATGGAGTGTGGCTGGACCAACGTACAGAGGAAAATATTTTGCAACTGAAATGTCTAGATATCTAAGCTAGCTACTGTATCTATAATATTCAGACATACACATTTTGAAACCGTAAAAATAAATCCCTCTGAGTGTGCAGAAACTTACTGAACAATCTACCCGGTCTTTTTGGTGCCCCAAAGCAAAAAGACAGGACCAAAGCTTTAACATGTGTCCCTAACTGTCCTGTAGGGGGTCCAAACATAAATCTAAACCAGGACGGATCTTCTGTTAATTGAAAATCACAGCTCACAATAATCTGCCAATCTTCAGCTGTGCAAATCCTGCAGAGAGCCAAGATAGCTGCAAGCTAGATATTATGCAAATGCAAACCCATGAACTCATTCAGCAGCAACATCCCTTTTAGGTTTTTAATGTTCATAAAATTATTGTACGTTTGTGACTTTAGTGCAACAAAAATGTGGAATGAGACCTTTATCTCCACCTTAGCTAATAAAAAGTGCTCTCAGTCAGTCTTTTTAGTGGGTGTAATTAAAATCGAGCAGAGACACAGCGCCGGTTTCCTACAACACCTAATTGGCAAAGTTGGGAATGTCATAAATGATTAAACAGTCATCGTTAATCATCCTGCAGCGTGTGATTTGGGTTGCATTTGAATTCCACGGGTGTTTAAAATTGACAAATGAGCTTGTTTTTGTGGGCTGGGTTGACTTCCTTCCAGCAACACTGATTCCAGACACAAACGTCTGCTTGGGTTTGTGAGAGAGCCTGTTTTCTGGTGAATTCCCTACAATAAAGCAACGATAGGAAACATATTTACACGTAATAAACAAGAAGAGACTTGGTTAGTTCTTATGTGAAAACGCTGAGTTGGAAAATGAACTACGGTGACTACAAGGCTGTGTGTGTGTGTGTGTGTGTGTGTGTGTGTGTGTGTGTGTGTGTGTGTGTGTGTGTGTGTGTGTGTGTGTGTGTGTGTGTGTGTGTGTGTGTTCTACACCTGTACCCCTCTCCTCCCCATCATGACCCCATCAGGGACATCCGCTTTTCCTACTTGTTCCCAGACTTCCTCCTTGCCTAAACACCCCCTTCACCCTGGACTCCCCGGCCCTTCTCTCCCCACAAACGATCCCTTTAAATGCTGGACTCCCCTCCACATTGCAACACACACACACACACACACACACACACACACACACACACACACACACACACACACACACACACACACACACACACACACACACAGCTCAGATAGAGCACTGTTTTAGCTATCAAACACTCTGTGTTTCACCATCTGTTGAGCACTCTCCCAGCTGTTGCCCACTCTCTCCCTACTCGGCAAAATAACTGCCTTATGAGGCGGTGACACGCACGCAGGACAGAAATTACACATGGCTGTGTCTGCTAATTAGAGACAGAGGCAGGTTCAGGATCTTGTCAGTCTGCAGTCGGGCAGCTGTCAACCTAGTAATGCAGAAACATGCCATTCCTCCCCCAGCCAGACTCATAGCAGACACTTACTGAAGAGATGTTTTACTAATGAGGGACATTATTAAAAGCCGCCGTGTTTGATGCATTGTGACCATGAGGTTATTCTGGGACTGAACTCTCAATGGGACATTGGCCAGTTTGGAGTGTTTCTGTGCAAAAATGATAAAAAATAACCTCCTTACCTTCTGTAGACGCCTCCCGAGTGACTACTGAGCCTACAGCCGGTTCGTTTGGACCGTTGACCATTACAGGGTTATTTAAGCAGAATTTATCAAGACCTGCTGGACTTGACTCCCAGATTCACCAGAAGTGCTACATTTTGATGCTGCTTGTCATATTTACTCTTGTAAATAACTACAGAATCCAAAGTGAATGTTTGTAATGTGGAACTGAGGACATTGTGCAGGTTTCTGAAAATAATTTTGCATGGATTGCATTGAAACATGGGCTGCACAGAGGTGCAGTGACTAGCACGAAGGACCTGGGTTCAATTCCTGGCCTGAGGTCTTTCTGCAAGCAGTTTGCATGTTCTCCCTGTGCACACGTGGGTTCTCTCCGGGTACTCCGGCTTCCTCACACAGTTTAAAAATGACTGTCAGGTTGATTGGTCTATCTAAATCAGGTGTCACCAACTCCAGTCCTCGAGACCCATCCTGCTAGTTTCCTGTGTTTCCTGCTCTACCACACCTGAATGAAGCACACATGAAAATGGCTGAAAAGTCCATCTGAATTTACCCTCAAATTTCTCACTGGCAGAGCTGCTTCTCCTGCTGTTTCCTGCGTTCTCTGTAACCAGTTCGAAGGTCTCTCCTGCGAGGCTGCACGTAAACACACGTTCCACATTCACATTTGCAACAGTGAGTGTATTTTTTAAACATTAATCTGAAATCCCATGCAGCCTACTTGGAGTTGTTCCTTCCAATGAGAAGCTCTGGAGGTGAAACTACAAAAAAATAAAAACATAAAAACAGAGTGTGCAGGTGGGAATTTGTTCCGCTGAGACCTGCAACCAAAGTTTGCAAAAAGGACTCCAGAACAATTCCAGCAAATGCAAACGTGAGTTTATATTTATGAAACACATAAAAATGAATTTAAAAAGTTGCCAAATTAAAGAGACATGTGGCCCTTGAGCAACACGTGATGGGAATCAGAATCAAGTCTGGACTTTATACAGTTCTATCAAGAACACAGAACTAGCTAGGAAACATTTAACCTTCAGTAGATCAATTCTGCAGGCCAAGGAGGGAAACACCACATGTCTCAGGAAGAAGATCAGTGCCCAGTCAGCTGCTTGTGTTCATTCCTCATGAGACAAACAGGGAGAGGTGATCTGACTCTTATTATGGAACAGCGGTTACTCTTTAGGCTTGATGTTCTGGTGCCCTGCTCACCGACTGATTGATGCACATAAAATACAAATCATCATGTTGCATGTTTGCCTCAGGACATTTAACAATAAAAGTAAAACAATTTTCATTTCTCTATGGTTTTGTATGGATTCTTTGCTGCTAGTGGAAGCAAACATCTGGTGAGTGAGCTGCCATCCTCCAATACTTAATCTCATCCCATGCATATGTCCCCTCCTTGGAGACAGTAGAGGACAGTTTGACCCGTCGCTCCAGATGTGCACTCTTCTTAAAAAGAGCCTCAGATTCACTTGCAGGCACCACAAAATCTTTATTAACCTCCATGTTTATACAGTCTGCAGATTCCCTTTGAGTTTCCATGTCACTTTGGCCTCTTTTGGGTCCCTCCATGTTTGGGCATGAAACAGATCTGTCTTTTTGCTGTTTTCAGGTTGAGAAACTTTGTTCCACCTGGGACTGGAAGCAGGAACTGCCCCGGTCTCCCCCAGTTCCCTGAGCTGCAAACCATATGACCGGAGAGACCTCGGACATCACGAGGAGGATGCTGAGGTGCGTTGGGGAAAAGGGGGCAGAACTCTGCTTTTGTTGGGTCATAAAACCTTTATGTGGGGGAAAAAATAAAAGTTGTGGTGCAGATAACAGAAATGAGGGGTTGTATTTTCAGGAGAAGCATCTGCAGTGTTGCGTAAAGACAATGAATACTCTAAATGCCAGAGAAAATAACTTTTATGATTCTTCTGGAGGTAAATCTCCAGATAGAAAATCCATTTCGTTCAAACGTTTTCATTTATTTGAAGATTACCTCAATTATTTAATGTTAAAAGTTTTATTTTCTGAGTCTGCTGACTTATAAACATTCCCTAAATGCACTAAAAAGAGGAACAACTGAAATTGGAACCATAAAAGTCCCGTTTAAGGGTCACACACACGGTTAAAACAGACATCAGCAACCGGAGGACACAAGCCAGAAGCCTCTGTGTGATGTCACGAGCAAGTCTGGAGAAATTCAACACCACCAGCTGGTTGGAGTTGTGATGGGGTGAACACGGGTCCACTCGCATCGGTGCAAGTCAAGGCACATAGCTGCAACCACCGCCTGGAGAAAAGAGACGCACAGAAGCGAATCTGGTGTTGAGCTGGAGACCAAGAGGAAGCCTCACTCTGTGTTTCTCTCTGAGCAGTCCACACGCACGGACAGTCAGACAGACAGACAGACAGACAGTCAGACAGACACCGCTCCTCCTCGAGACGACCCTATCCTTTTACGCGTCTTTGCCTTGGATAGAGCCAGCCCGATCATTGCGCGCCGCGGAGCGCAGCCGGTCCAGCTGGTTTTTGGTAAAGAAAGTGAGAGAGGTCTCACCTCGGCGCCGTGAGATGAAGACTTTCTGAGTCTCCGTGCACCTTGGCTGTTCCCAGAGGGCTGGCCCATGCGCAGGCATCCCCGTGAGCGTGATTCTGTTTTCACCCAGATCTCTGCTGCCTGGACAAATGCATACAAATGCATTTAGGATCTCAACGGACAAGGAGTGGACTTGTTTCCGCGGCTGCAACGTAAGTGAAAGTTTCATTAAACGGAGAGTTTTGTATCTGCAAATAAAACAGTTAAGTTTCCCCCTAGTTCAGGTGCGCGCGTGAGCTGAAGAGTTTTAGATTATTTGACCGTCTCCCTGACAGGGGCGCTCCTCGATTAAACAAAGTCCCAGTGCAAGATCCAGGCTTTGGCCACCAGAAACAGACTCAAAATCATTTTTTGGGCTCTTATTTCTATTTTTATTTGTTTGTGTTTATCTTTCATTTTTTACATCTAGAAGAAACCACCATCTGTGACTGATCTATCCCCACGTGATACATTCAGAGATTCTGTTTTATATTTATAGAAAGCAGCAGGCCTTGCTTTGAACTCACCACACGAACATCCCCTCTCAGAGCTGAAAGCCATGTGGGATGCTTCACTCATTAGGATGAGTTGGAAAATAAACAGTTGGGGAAAGGAGAGACAAGATGAATGGGAATGTCCTGGGAGAATATTCAACACAGGATAAATCACTGTGGTCTAAGCCTGTCTGGGAACAACAGTCAGGGAGACAAAAATGCATTTAGTGTAGACATTTGCACCTTTGACATCCAGCATGCAGGTTTTGTTGTCCTCCTGGCTCTTCATCAGAAATATGCAAGCCTTCATTTATCAGCAAATGTATTATTATCGTCTGCACTCGTTCACTAATCTCCTCCAGGTTTAAATAAAACAAAAACTGAAGATGAGATCATAAAGTCTTGTTGTCGTCAACGTCTTTAAAAGCAAAGTAAATCTTTCTTTTTCACGATTAGAATGAGAGCCTTATGGCAGCAGAGAGAGCCCATGTGGCTTCCCTTGACAACGTTAGTGTGTATGCATCAGTGGTTGACTGGCTTTTGGACTCCAGACAATCACCCACTGTCTTCCAGTGCTGGCAGCGGTTGGTCCGTGTGGCTGCTGAAATACAGACTCTTACTTATAGTTTGATGCACACCAGACTGAGAGCATCCTGACCCACCACTGCTTCCAAGTTCTCACAATATGTCGAGCAGATATGAGAGGGAGTGGGGTTAGGATGGTGCAGCTCATGCATTTGTTGTTTCTCTGTGTTCTGGATGGGAAAGGAAGAGTTTTCCTTCAAAACATAACCTCAAAAAGTGCCTTTATCAGTAATCTAATCAACCAGCAAGGTGCCACAGATGATGAAACCCATGAGATGTTTCATTGTCATGGTCCTTTTTTACCTTTATTATCACACTGAATAGAAATAATTACAGTTGTCAGGCAGGGAATCCTGCTCCTAAAACGGTAGATAATGAAGGCAAAAATGGGTGAAAATGAGACTAAATGCACAGCATATCCAGAAGAGATTAGCTTTTGTGATTTTTCACAGCTTTTCTCATATTTTTAAAACATCAAATCCGTGTTAGGATAAACAGAAACGTCTGTGATTTTCGGTTTTCATGGACATTTTTATTGTCTGATTCCCACAAATATTCCAACAGCTATGTCCTTTTTCAAAACTAAAGTCTCACATGCTCAAGTTTGTGCGTGTTTCTTATTGTTGACATTTTCACAAGTGAATTGGTTACATCTCAGCTTCCTTCTGCAGCACACATACGTATTTACCATTGTTTCTATATCAGTATCAGTTATTATACCTCCTTAGTAGAGCCAATTTAAAGTCAGGCACATGCCCGGGCAGCCTGGTGCTGCCGCAGAGTTTGATATAAATGCATACTTACGTTCCCGATTAACATTTGCATAATAAATGTTCTAAAAACACAAAGTGAAGACTTAAAATTTAGGGTTCAACGGCAGATTAAGCTGATGTTATTAGTGACGTTTTAGCATGCAAACATCTAGATATCGCTCATGAAAACCGGCCCATCCACTGAGAAAAACCCATAGTTGTTGACCTCTGCTCTATGCATCAGTGGTTCTGGGTATTTTGTCCCGAAGCGTGTTTGTTTTAAGTCTCCCAACATCTGCAGGTCCCTCTGCTACAGGTCTGAGTAACGACGGGCAGAGATTTACTCACAGCTCTTTGTCTGCCCTGTCTTGTGGACAGAGTCAATCTTTGCTCTGGTCTGCTGTGACCTTTTGGCGCCAGGTGATAAATAAACCCCGTGCAAAACTTTAAATCAGCGACGAGCTGGGAAGAACTTTAGATTAGAGTATTAAACACTGGGCAAATGAAACCCTATTCGCATTTGTTCCCTGGCTGTCATTCATCTGGGAGAACCTCTTTCATGATGAAGTTGTCCTGATCAGGAGCAGGCAGCGAAGCTGAAACACAGCCAGGTGGAAAAACGCTACTGGCAGCAGATCAGTCAGTTGTTCCTCTGCGGTAATCTAAATCTTCAACAGCGACTCTCTGTGGTGCACTTCCAAAAATGACCGCAGGTGTTTCTGAAACAGGAGAGGGACAGAAATAGTTCGTTCAAGGTGACTCGACCAAAAGCAGGTCTACAGGAATTTTATTAGCACAGCTTGCTTTTGTTGACCCATTTTTTTGTACTTAAGAGTTGTTTTGGGCAGATTAATGGCTGCTCGGTTACTCAATACCTTATTTATTTGTTAAGCGCAATGCCAAACGAGGCATGTTAACAGTAGGTTCAAAACGCCAGCAGTCATAAACTCACTTCCCGATACAAATCGATGATGAATGCAGGAAAACCGCTTCCTTTTCTTTCCTTGTGGGGACTGTGAATCCAAACCCAACAGGTTTTCTGCTATCTGGCAGAGCCAACAGAGCACTCAGCCTGTTTCTCAGCTGAATGAATCATTGATAGAGATCCAAGACGATTTCAAAGAAACGAGATCTGTTCCTGCAGGAACGATACCCTGCAGAAGTTGCCTTGACACGACACCCACTCCCCACATAGTGGTATTTCCCTTGGTCAACAGTGCTGTGTTTGGGGAGCTTTGTCTTGCTTTCACTCAGGACTGGGAATCATCTAACAGGCTAACTATTGCAGGAACTAAGCTTTAGAAAACAAAAACAATACTAGTTACTGCAGCAAAATGTCGACTAGAGTCTATGATGCATACCTGGATGACAGCGAGCATCAACGTACGCTTCGTTTTTTTATTATTTAACCAGGATGGACCCTTGAGATTTAAAATTATATTTACAAGAATGTCCATGCAGCAGCTCAGTCAGAACAACAGAGCAAAACACAGAGAACGTTTCACACATGTAGGTTTCAGAGCTTTAAATAGCCTTCGAGACTCCACTCTGCAAGACAGACAGGAAAAAAAAGTTGTCTGGGCATCAGATGGCCTCACACACACACACACACACACACACACACACACACACACACACACACACACACACACACACACACACACACACACACACACACACACACACACCACGAGAGTGAACTGCCAGATTTGAAACAGAACCAGTTACCTTCTAGCCCTCTAAATGTCGGCCCTTTTTCAGCCGGTAAACTACTGGATTAATATAATCCCATCTCGTTTCTCTATTGCTGTAGGCAGTGTTGTGCCCAAACGTGTTCATTGAACGATCGTTTGTGAATTTGTTCATTTTTTCGTGAACTGAACTCGTTCGTGTTTTGCCTGACGAGTGTAAAAGTAAGTGTGTTCGTCTTGGCGTGCGTAAATGGGTTTATGAACGCGTTCTTTCGCCGTTCTAGCTCCAAATCTCCACGGAGCTTTTCCCGTGTCGGTACAGGATCTGTTCGGGTAGAACCTGCAAATGTGGCCAAACATGGGCAGTAGCGGTTGGTGCGGCGTCTACTCTTCTACGTCTATGCTGTGTGCAGGAGTCAAAGTTCATTCAGAAAAATTTAAACGGGACTTAACTGAAAGATTATACATTTTTTAATGTTTTGCACTTTGAGTTTGCTACCTCAGCCTGCTTCCTAAGGTTGTTTAATAATTTCCCATTAAAAAAAAATGTTTTCCTCATGTTATTGAGAATATACTGTAGGGTAAAAACTGCAGCTGGGTATGAGTGTGGACTGAACGGGTGCCAACTATTGGACAATTATTTCATAAGTTTTATATATATATATATATATATATATATATATATATATATATATATACATACAGTGGGGCAAAAAAGTATTTAGTCAGCCATCGATTGTGCAAGTTATCCCACTTAAAATGATGACAGAGGTCAGTAATTTACATCATAGGTACACTTCAACTGTGGGAGACAGAATGTGAAAAAAAATCCATGAATTCACATGGCAGGATTTTTAAAGAATTTATTTGTAAATCAGGGTGGAAAATAAGTATTTGGTCACTTCAAACAAGGAAAATCTCTGGCTCTCACAGACCTGTAACGTCTTCTTTAAGAAGCTTTTCTGTCCTCCACTCGTTACCTGTATTAATGGCACCTGTTTGAACTCATTATCTGTATAAAAGACACCTGTCCACAGCCTCAAACAGTCAGACTCCAAACTCCACTATGGCTAAGACCAAAGAGCTTTCGAAGGGACACCAGGAAAAGAATTGTATACCTGCACCAGACTGGGAAGAGTGAATCTACAATAGGCAAGCAGCTTGGTGTGAAAAAAATCAACTGTGGGAGCAATTATCAAAAAATGGAAGACATACAAGACCACTGATAATCTCCCTCGATCTGGGGCTCCACGCAACATCTCAGCCCGTGGGGTCAAAATGATCTTGAGAACGGTGAGCAAGAATCCCAGAACCACACGGGGGGACCTGGTGAATGACCTGCAGAGAGCTGGGACCACAGTAACAAAGGTCACCATCAGTAACGCACTACAACGGCAGGGAATCAAATCCTGCAGTGCCAGACGTGTTCCGCTGCTGAAACCAGTGCATGTCCAGGCCCGTCTGAAGTTTGCCAGAGAGCACATGGATGATACAGCAGAGGATTGGGAGAATGTCATGTGGTCAGATGAAACCAAAGTAGAACTTTTTGGTATAAACTCAACTCGTCGTGTTTGGAGGAAGAAGAATACTGAGTTGCATCCCAAGAACACCATACCTACTGTGAAATATGGGGGTGGGAACATCATGCTTT